CCCGTCACACCCACACACACACACACACACACACACACACTGGAAACCCTGTGTCACACACACACACACACACACACACTGGAAACCCTGTGACACACACACACACACACACACACCGACTTCAGTGCCCACCTGAGAGTTGGTGAAGGTGCCAACCCCAATCAGTGTGATTTGCTCGAACCTTGCTTGCTTCCTGTTGGCTCTGACTCTGTTCAGAGTTTGTTGTTTTCCCGTGGGTGACAAGCAGGAGTCATGTCTTATTAATTCTGATATCACCAGCAGCTCACAGCCAGCATCAGCACTGCCCAGTGTATTTTGACTGAATGCATGAACTGGCTGGCTCTACAGGTCTCCACCGGACAACTTAAACTGGCCCTACACCCTCATTTCCTTTGTTCAATGTAGTGGTCGATGGTTTTTATATAAGAATTTTTGTTTGCTGAAATATTGAAACATTAGCATTACTTGTTACACCTTATTCACTCTGAGAGAAAAGTGCTAGTTGTTATATTATTATTATTATTATTATTATTATTATTATTATTATTGACAATTCAAGGAATACAGAGGCTAAGACAGCAAACTGGGCATTATGGGTGCTTAGCTCCCGCAGCCGTCGAGTGAGGGAGTGAGCGCTGCCCAGGCCCTGGGGCAGCTGTTGTTTCTGTGATGTGCGCACCTTCTCAAGTCCGCCCATGTTCCAGCACCGAGACAGTAGCTGCACCTGGAAGCATTCTCCCTTCATCTTTGAGCAAGGCTGTGGACCCTGTGACTGGAGCACGGAAGGGTGAAAGGGAGCCTTGCTGGGCTCCCCACCTGCTACATTAAAAACATCTGCCGGTCACATAAGCCTTTTTATTTCGAAACACGAGGCACACAAAAAGTTAAACCAGGCTGAGTGTGGCGCTGCATGCCTTTTTCCCAGAACCCATAAGGCAAAGGCGGGCCGATCTCTGTGAGAATGAGGTTAGCCTGGTGTATGCAGCAAACCCCAGGCCAGCTGGGGCTGCAGGGAGACCCTGTCTCAAAAAGACCCCCCAATTTAAATCAGACCCCAGCTCCATAAATATTCTTTATAGTCCATGGGTTTTGGTGTTCTAGGTCGCTGTCGCCCCCACTGTGGGCTTCTGGCTTTATTTATTTGATTTTGGTTTTTTAAAAGAAATAAAACACACAGATACATAAAGAAGCAGCTAATTGCCAACCCCTCTCTCACCTCCAGAGAGGCAGGAGGTACCTTCCTGCTCATGCACACAGAGGAGGTGATAGACTTGCTCACAGAACATACGTGTAATGCATGTATTGTCCAGAACTGGCCTCCAGCCGTGCATTCAGAAACTTACTGGAGCATTTACACTCATGTGTCATGCACACAATTGTCTGTGAATTAGGTCATAGCATGCATGCTCCTGGACTTAGCCCTCTCCTTTCCTCCAGCTCTTCCTCATCACAGCCCATCCACCAGGCAGTAAACATTAACTACTCGGTTGTATTGTTTTGTGTTTTACACACACACACACACACACACACACACACACACACCACTCACATACATGCACGCATGCACACGCTTACTTGAAGATTTTATTATTTTTAAAGAATAAGGTCACAGAACTGGAGAGATGGCTCAGCAGTTAAGAGCACTTAATGCTCTTTCAGGGGACCTAGTTTGGTTCCCAGCACCCACGTAGAGGCTCACAACGGGCTGTAACTCCAGTTCAAGGGGATTCAAAGCCATATCTGGCTCCTGAGGGCTCCTGTGGGCACATGGTACACATTACACACATACAACAAATTTAAACACAGGGCCACACACTTCTGTGTGACACACCTTCCTTCTCTGCGAACCTGTGTCTGCCCCAGGGTTTCTCTTGGAGCCCTTCCGTGCCAATGGTCCAAGCCCTTTCTGTCCTTTATAATGGCTTGATAATATTCCAAGGTATGGATGTGTCAAAGCTTTTATTAGACTAATTTTCATAATTATTTTAACCCTAATGCATCCAACCCTGTTTTCACATTTTTGCCTGAATAAGTAATACAATAAAAACCCTTATACACGTCTTGGGGCAGCTTCCTAGGGGGAGACGTGTTGACTCACAGGATACGTGTGTTTTAAACTCAACGTTCATTATCACGTATTTCCTGTTCTCCTTTGTCCTGGCCAGCAGTGCTGCTGTTCTTTTTAATTCCCATCGCTGTGATGGCTGTGGGTTGTTTTTATTTTTTTGTTTTTTTGGTTTTGTTTTTTTCAGTAGCACTTTAGGAACTCTCATTTCCCTGATAATAGATGAGCGTGGTTTTGTGCATTTTGGGGGCAAGATGTCGTAATATGGATGCCTTTTTCTGTAGTGTAATTTTTCTTTTTCTTGTCAATTTATAGGAACACTTTTCTGTTTGTTTTTGTAACTTTATATTGTTGCCATATACAAAGTTTCAGACTTATTTGTCAAGCAACCTCTCCTTGCTGTATGGCTTTGGAGTTTCCTTCCTTGAATAACAGCCTTTCTCAGCTACATGAATACATAGCCTTTTATATTTTTCAAATATTTTATAATTCCCATCCAATTGTTTCACTCCACTGAGTTGTAATTTGAAATTTGATGTGAAATAAGCCAATTAATAATTTTACATGGACATTAAGCTCAATTTACCAGGGTTCTCCTTGTAATTTCCTGTGGTTTCTATCTGGTATTTAATTGCATATTTTTTATTAACTTTGGAAAATTTAGCACTTTTATTATAATAAAATTTCCCTTCTAAAAATACAGCATGACTTCCTGGTTTTTTAGAGTTCACGTTTTCCAAGAGGAGCTCATCGTGCTCTCTGCACGGACTCCGTGCCTTCCTTTAAAGCTGCTTCCCAGGTTATTTTCGGTTCTTGTCACTGTTAGGGATGGAGTGTTTTCTTTTTACCCAGTCAAGTAGTGGATTGCTAAAATAGGAAAATGTCCAAATTATGTTCCTGGTTCTGGGAGTTTTGCTGGAGTTGCTTAGCTCTGTTGGTCTGTAGCCACAGCAAAACAGAACCTTGCTGTTCTCCCCATGACCCACATCACTTGTTTTTATTGCCAAATTGCACTTTCTAAGACCTCCAAGGAAATCTTAAATACTAACACTGTTTGCTGACCTTAAATGTCATTAGAGATTTTCTGCATATAAATTTGTTCTTAATTTACAGACTTTACATTGCTATTTCTGTTCTGCTTAGTTTTGTTAAGAGTGACTGCTGGTTTTTATCAAAGGCCTTTTCAGCAGAGATGACATGTTTAGATTTACCTTTCCGTCTGCTGATGTGTAAGAGACCGGGGTTGACAGATTTCCCAGGCTTGGTCCACTTTGGATTCATCAAATAAATCTTCTCCGTCACCGACTTGCCTGATTTGATGATGTATTTGCTTAGGACAATAGGATGTGGTTTCACAGTACTGGAGGCCAGAAATCCAAATCTGAGATGGCCCCAGGGCCTCTCCCTCTGAACTGGGAGGGAGGTCTGTGCCCTCCTCTCTGCCTCTGCTGGTTTGCCCTGGTCTTGGGTGTTCTGGGGCAGGTAAGTGCCTCACACCAACCCTCGGTCTCAGTGTGCTGCTGTCCCTGTGTTTAACCCTTCCTGTGTTTCTTGAGAGTCAGATTTTCCCTCTTTCTAGAGCATTCTATCAAGGTCTTTTAGCTCCGTAAAAACCCTGTTTCCAAATAAGATCATATTATGAGGGACTAGGGGGTTAGGACTTCAACAGAGCTTTATCAGGAAGCCACAATTCAACCCACGATGGTTATGTGCTACCAATTGTGATGTGTCACGGAATTCTGTGTGATCGTATTTGATCTAGAAGTCGCGTTCTGTGCCTGTCAGTGGGATTTGTGTGGAGTTCTTCATGTGAAGTAGTGCTGTTGTTAAGCCCGCACCAGACTTTCTAGCTTAGGAGTGGTCTAGAATGGGTTAAATAGTACTGGAATCGTCAGCTCAATGAAGGTTAGACAGAACAGAGCTGTAAAACAGACCTGAAGGAGTTCCCTTTACCTTAACCTCTTGGTATATTCAAATCTCGTTACTTCTAAGGTCTTTTTAATCATTTGTATTTCCTAGGAAATCTGCCATTTCAATTTGTTTCCTTGTTACCAAAGTTAGGTATATCCTACAACTTTGTCTCATATATTCTGAGTTTTGCTGTTAGTTTTTTGTTTCTTTGAATCGGGGTCTCACTATGCAGCCACAGCTGGTCTTGAACTCAGGACCCTCCTGCTTCAGTCGCCCTCCCATGTGCTGGAATTACTGGCGTGCCCAGTCTGTACTCCGTTTCAATACCCTTTCTTATTCCTAACCTTGGAAAACGGAACACATTCTTTCCCATTTGTTTAAATTATGGATCACAAGAAATTTATTTTACTAGCATATAAAAATAATGGCTTGGGGATAACATTGTCTCGTCCATTTCACTCATTTTTAGATTTTATCGTTTAACTTCTTATTCATGGTTTGTTTTGTTACTCTTTTTCAAATTTGGCAAAAAGAAGAAAACGCTCCTCGTGTTAAAATCCTATAAGTTAAAAAAAATCCCATTATTGAATAATTATTCCACGCTCATTAGAGTAGATATATAGAATGAAGGAATTTGTTCTAAAATGTTTCCCTGGGCAATAAACAAAACATATACAACTTTATTTTTAGCCTTCTAATAGCTAAGTAAATACAGACTTGGAGTTTTTGTTGTTGACTAACCATGAAGCTTTCTGCTGTCTTCCACTGAGGGGAAGACGGTTGGCCAAAGACACCTACTGGGAAAGCAGCTTGCAACAGCCTGCTCGCAGGCCAGCCACCAAGTGGCTAAGTTCTCCTGGGTCTTGGTGAGCTACTCAGATCAATAACCGTTAAGAAGAGGATCCTGTCTTGTAAGGTGACACTTTCCTCGAATTGCTGTTGACCTTGACTGCACAGAGCTGCTTTCCTCAGCCCCTCCCAGGTAGCTCACACAGAACCGGCTTCTGATCCCCTTTACTTGGTCTTCTCATTGCACTTGTTAATTTTTCTTTAAGAAAGTTAAAAAAAATCAGATTTTGTCAGAACTCAAACTTTGTGGTAATTTTTAAGAAGACGAATTTGCCTTTCCCTACCCACAACATCATTTAAATAACGCAGTAGAATTAGCATTCTCTCAGGGATTAACACCGTTCTCACACCTGGAACCAGCAGAGTCACTGTGAAACATGACTGTAGCCCGCTTTTCTATAGATGTTTGCTAGCCTAATTATTTCTGATAAATGCACAAAACTGAGAAGAAAAGCTGTACATCCAGGGGTTATTATTCAGAAATCCCAGCAATCTCACTGACCTCCTGCGGTCTATTTACTAAGAGGCTTTGACATCAACTGTAGAACTCTGAAAATTTAAAAACAAAAACATGAGTGACAGGCCTAATGGGGCTGTGATGCATGATAGAACATCTGCCTAGTATTCAGGGAGCCTGGGTTCATCCCTAGAACTAGGAGGGAGCCAGGGAAGGAGGGAGTCAGGGAGGGAGGGAGGGA